AAAAAAAAAAAAACGAAAAGGGTGGCAGAGGACACAACCATGACCTAGACAGGCAAAAAATCAAAACTTGTAGCCCAAAGCAGCCAATCGGTCCAGCCCTCACTAGCTCTGGACTCCTGCTGTGAGAGCATGTCCATCTCTCTCTGCAGAACTTAGGATTGGGATGATGGGTAGAGACCACCAGGTGCAAGCCAAAATCTGAACTAAGGAAGCCAGAGGGGACGCTGGGCAGGTGCTACTGAGCCCAAACCCTTCCACCCAGCACCGTGCTTCCTCCAGCTCCCCTGAGCCAGCCTACACCCTGGAACACAGGGCCCCCAGGAGCACCCTGGCCATCTGTGGACTCCTATTACCATAAACCAATCCCGACCTCCCTTATGCCCATGGGATTTCGGTTTGTCACTGAAGAGTCCTGACGCCGACATCCTCYGACCCACTGAACCTCCAACCTGTGAGTCGCTGACATCAGGTCCACCTCCCCTCTCAAGGTTGAAAGGTCATGTGATCTCCCCACATCTGACTGCCCGTGGAAGAGACCCTCCTTGAGAGCCCGGCCCACATGCTCCTCCTTCCCTGTAACTCCCACAGGAGGCCCGAGATCAGGGCTTCAGGCCTCCATCCAGCTACGTAAGGACCCGACACAAACCAGAGGAAGGCTCGGATCTGAAACACGCGGCCACTGGGGAAAACGGAGTGCTCTTCCATGCACYAGGACAGAAGCCAACAGGGGAAAGTCACAGTGAAGGGGCAGGTGAGGTGAGTCCCTGCCAGGGAACCACCCCGTCAGCATGTTCTCCAACCACAAGCATGAAAAGCACCAGACTGAAGGAGGGTGTCCGMAGAGGGGGTCTACCCAGACGAGACTGGGCCACGTGAGGCTGTTGGGACTCGGGGATCCCCTGCCCTGGGGTGAGTTTGGGCTGGATCTACAAAGGTAGCTGGAGCTGATCAGCAGAGAGGCTGAGGCATAGTGAGGCTACAAGAGTGGAGAGCCAGAGTGTCCCAGCAAGGGGACTTCCAGAATTATGGGCCGGGCATGCTTTCTTTCTTTCTTTCTTTTCTTTTTTTTTTTTAATATTTATTCTTTTTATTTGTAGTTGGACACAATCTTTGTTTTTATTTATTTATTTATTTATTTATTTATTTATTTATTTATTTATGTGGAGCTGAGGATCGAACCCAGGGCCTCCCATGTGCTCGGTGAGCGCTCTACCGCTGAGCGCTCTACCGCTGAGCCACCACCTCAGCCCCAGAGGCCTGCTTTCTTTCAGTCTCCACATAGAGCCGCCATGTAACTTGGTGGCACAAAAGCCACAAAAACATCACAGGAGCATGGAGTGACCACAGCCTCTTCTTCATTCACTCCATTTATTTACTGCAGCAGTGCTGGGGAGGGAAGCCAGGGCCTGATACATGSTAGGCCAGCCTCCCACCAAGTGTTATTGTAAACACCGAGAGGAGAATTTCCTGTCATTGTTACAGGTCATGAAATCCAACTTTTTTTCCTGCTCAACTATTTAAAACAATATACAATGGGGGCTGGGGCTTAGCTCAGTGGCAAGTGGGCTTAGCTCAGTGGCAGAGCACTTGCCTAGCACGAGTGAGGCACTGGGTTCAATCTTAGCACCGCCTAAAAATAACCAAATAAAGGCACTCTATCCATCTATAACTACAGAAAGTTTTTAAAAAATACATACAGCATTCTGAGTTTGTAGTCTGCACAAAGATAACTGACAGGAAGAAGAAAAAAAGCCTATAACTGTACTGTATTTGGCCCACTGGCAGTAGATAGTAAGACCATAGTCAACAGAGTTAAGAAAATCAAACATAAACAAGATAATGTAGGACTGGGGCTCAGTGTCAGAGCACTTGCCTCGCATGTGTGAGGCCCTGGGTCAATCCTCAGCACCACATAAGAATAAATAAATAAAAATAAAGATATTGGGTCCATCTACAACAACAACAAAAATATTTAAAAAAAAAAATAACGATGGGCTGGGATTGTGGCTCAGCGGTAGAGCGCTTGCCTAGCACAGGTGGGACCCAGGTTCGATTCTCAGCACCACGTAAAAATAAAGGCATTGTGTTGTGTCCATCTACCAAAAAAGATTCTCTCTCTCTCTCCCTCCCTCCCTTTCTCCTCTTAAAAAAAAAAAAAGATAATGTATATGGAAGGACATGCACAGGTGACACACAAGTACGATATCATTTTACATTAAACATCCAGGGATTCTCAGGAGTCTGGAACCCATCCCCATCCCCATCAACATCAACATGGAGGAATGGCCAAATATGGAYTAAATCTCACTGACTTTTGCCAAATTGAATCTGAGGTGCTAGTTAGTGCATTTCCTACAGTAAAGTATGAAATTTCTCAGAGGGAAGGGGCTGCATTGTCCACCACAGTTACGGAGGAAATTCCTGAAGGAAGGATTTCAGGATCCCAAATAACACCCAGCCTGACACACCGCTCAGTTATTTACATTCCCTTCTGGTGACATCATGGGGCGGGCCTGAGTGGATCCCAGGAGGCTGCCCAGCAGCAAACTCACCAAATAAGGTTTGAGGCTCCACCAAGAAAAAAAAAAAAAAAAGGATGGGCTTAGTGGGGCCTGGCTGGTCTAGAGGCGGGGCCAGAGGCTGCCCTCCAAGGCCCAGACAGGCAGGACATCAGCTGCTCCCTGGAAGGGAAAACCTCAGCATCTCCCCACAAGTGCTAAACACCAGCCTGAGCAGGACAGTAAACCCCAGGGCCCCAAAAAGAGGTTAAAGAGAAAGACCTCCAAGAACACACACAGCTGGGTCTTCTGCTCTCATGCCTGTGCCAGGCTCTGTGTCTGGCACTAGACGTTTCTCCCCACAACAAACACACGGTACCTCRGAGAAAAAGTTAAGAGCAGGGCTACCTGGCTCCAGCACTCGAACTCTTTCCACCAGCAAATGACACTGACTCATTCCTTTGTGGGACAAAGGACAAGAAGGGAGAGTTCCTGTTTAGAAAGGCCAACGCTCCATCARAGAGGGCTGCTCACCTGCCCAGCTCCTCGCCCATCTCATAGTGGTCCTCCACGTCTTCCTGTCGGAACGACGACATGGTGGCTGGTCTGCCTTCCAGTCGCTTCTGCTCCAGCTGAAAGCACTGAGGCCCAGGGACAGGGCCTCGGGAGTCCCCTGGGACCCTGGAGGAGACAGGCAAAGCAGGGGATGAGGTGGCAGTCATCCCTCCCTGGTGAACGGACACCCGCTGGCTCGCATCAGTCCACCCTCAGGTCCAAGCCCCTGGGGGTGCCCGCGCTTAGTGGCTGGRTCTTCCCAGCGGCCCCTCATGTAACCCCTGTACGAGGCGCGGGGATCGGCCGCACTGGGCGACCTCTGCCCCCGACGGATGCCGCTCTGCGCCCCGGTCAGCCAGGCGACGCCCGGGCCTCCCCGCCAGGCCCACCCCGGCCCAGCTCCGGTCCCAGCCGTCCCCTCGGCAGGTCTCCCACGCCCGCTAACAACAGCTCACACCGCCTCCCGCGCAGACCCGCCTCCCGCGGGCGCCGGACGACGGCTCCGGGCTCCTGCGGGGCCTCTGGCCGCCCGCCGACCTCCGCCGCCCGGCCACCACCGGAGGCCGCCCCGCCCGGCGGGCCTCCTCCGCCGTCTCGCCCCACCCTCCACAGGGGCCCAGGAGGCCGCAGCGACTCCCTCCTCGACCCGCCCGCGACCCCCACGGTTCCGGCTCCGGCAGCCCGAGGCCGCCACGCCCCTCACAGGCCCAGCCGGCCCGGGGTCCCCGGAGTCTCCCAGCTTCGCCCCCGACCCGCGGCCTCCAGGGACCCCGAAGCGCCGCCCCGGCTCCCCCGGCCAGCAGTATCCGCACCCTCGGCGGCCGCGAGTCCAGGGCCAGCCCCACCGCCGCGCTAGCCTCAGACGCGGACCTCTGTCCCAGCCCCGCCACCTCGGACGCCGCGTCGCGCCTGCGCGACGTCACCATGTCCTCAAGTACCCACCCGGAGGCGGACCTACCTCCCATAGGCCAGTGAGCCCGCCGCTCAAGCCGCACCTCGACGCCCCGCCCTCCGCCTTCTCTCCGGGCTCCACACCTGGATACGGCCTCCCGGTTGGCTGACTGACTCACCATTCCTAATCTGATTGGCTGGAGCAGACCGCTAACTTCCGGCTCCTGGGACGCCCCTCCCGCCTCTACTCTGAGCTGATACGAGGCTGCAAGACGGAGAAGTCCCGCCTCCTGCGGTTCCGGAGCACCAAAGGCAGGATCAACTGGGAGCCAGGCGCAGTAATTCACACCTGTAAACCTGTCTACTCCCAGGCTAAGGCAGATTCTAAACCAGAGACCAGTGTCAGTAACTCAGAGGGCCGTGTCAAAACAGGGCTGAGGTGTAAACTCAGAGGTAGGGCGCCCCTGCCTGTTCACTCCCCAGTAAGGGATGGGGGCAGGTAGAATCCTCTGGACCGCTGCACTTCGCAGTTCCTGGTGTGGACAGCGGGGTAGTCAGCCTTCTTCTTAGTTGTAAATGGACAGAATGGCCTTATTTTSCTTATTTTTATGTGAAGCTCGAACCCAGGGCCCCACGCATGCTAGGCAAGTGCACTGCCACTGAGATACAGCCCCAGCCCCAAATGTTGACATTTTAAAAGCGTTGCCATTGACAGGATCCAATTTAATGTGACCAAATGACAACCTTGGGAGACAAATAATTACCCCATTGTATAAATGAAAAACTGGCACCTTGTGTTTATCCTACCAAGGTCAGGGCAGATTCCCCCCTCCATAGGTCTGAAACCAAAGCCAATGACAAACCACCCCAGGTGTCAAGACCCAGTCTTTTGACAACCCCAAGCTCATCTGCTCTCCCACCCCCTTTGCCTTACATTAATATTTATTTTCTAGTTATAGGTGGACACAATATCTCTATTTTTATGTGGTGCCGAGGATCAAACCCAGTGCCCGACACATGCCACATGAGCGCTCTACCTGAGCCACAACTCCAGTGCCACTTTCACCTTACTTCTGACCTCAACTTATTCCTATCCCCCAGAAAGTACAAATAGTACTTTCTGGCCCAAGATGGCCTCCTGCACTAATCCCAAAGCCTACTTGAGCTCACAGCCATAGTGGCACCTTCTCCCAGAAGCCATCCCCACTGCACCCTCAGTACAGCAGATGTGGAGCCAGGGCTGCCACTGTGGACAGATGCAGGCAATTCTTACCACTGCACAAGTTGCACCAGACAGCTCTGTAGGAGCCCAAGCAAGTACCTAAGCCGCACTGGAGGCTAYACAAGCTGTACTGGAACCAACCAACCCTAACCCTTCTCCTGTGCAGAAGCCCCAGGAAGGATGCAGAGCCAMGTCACAGGGATGGCACACTTCACCACCATTATCAAATTTATTATTCCAATGGCACTAATACAGCTGAAGGTGCTCATGGTTTGACACGGCACAGGACTTCCTGCCTTCTAGGAATTATCTACCCACCGTTCCTACCCCCTTTTGAGGGAAATCCACTTCRGGCCATATACCCAAATAAACTTCTTAATGCATTTATTTTAAACTTTTGGACATCCAAATTCAGTTTCCCTCTGATGATCTGAAATAAAAGCATTGGGTGTCCCACCCTACCTCCCCACCCCACCAGCCAAGTAGTCCCTTCAGAAAGGGCATTTCCCCTGCCTCTGGACTCCTGAAATAAATAGAGWGAAACGGCATCAAGTGTTATTGTTGAGCGATGGCACGGAGTGGGCCCCCGAAACCCCTCAGGCAGGGCATCACTGTGTGGGGACAGTCTCAAGGTGTCATTTGAGAATGCGAGGACGTGTTGCTGTGGTCAAACTGGGTGTGGGTGTTGTGCCAAGTCCCGCCAGGGGTGGCAGACCACTGCTGGAAAGAGCCGCCTACAATTTGTCCAGGAAGTTGTCCAGGGCCGGGATGCCCTCCTTCAGGCCTTTGCGCTTGCGGGTCTCCGCCACCACTTGGCTGGGACGGCTGGTGTTGTCAAAGGGGTCTCCAGGCAGGATCTGCCAGTGGTCGAACACGCACTGGGGGAAGGCCTGACCACCTGTGTTGGACCTCAGGTCAGCAGTGAAGCCTGTGGGGAGAGGGACGGAGATAGCTCAAGAGCCACAGCAAAGATCCTACTGACCTACGTGCCATAGCCTTCCTGCCCTCATCAAACAAACTCCCTACTAGTGACTGGGGGCCACACAGGGTGCAGGCAGACCACCTACTTGCAGAAGGCAGATCAAAAAAGCTCCCACCGCCCCTCCCCACMCTCACAGGGAAAGCCAGGCTTTCATCTGCGTAGATAGGCCCCAGGGGCACTTACCAAAGGATTCGTTGACGGGCAGGTAGGCCTTGACGACGAACATGGGGGTACCAGCCACCTGGGATTCCTCAAAGACATGACCCCGCTTCCTGTTCAGGACACCGTAGATGCCACCAACCACCTGCTCCGGACACTGCCAGGAAAAGACAGGCATTCAGCTCCGTGGGGCAGGAAGACAGCAGGAGGCCAGTGCAGGCCAGTGCGCTCACCTGGATCTCCACAAGGTAGATGGGCTCCATGAGGCGGGGCTGGGCAGTCAGCACACTGGCATAGAGGCAGCGGCGGGCGGTGGGGATGATCTGGCCGCCCCCACGATGGATGGCATCCGCATGCAGTGTCACATCGTGCACATCAAAGCGCACGCCCCGCATGTTCTCCTCGCACAGTGCACCCTGGGGAACGGGGAAAGAGGCCTCAGAGACCAGGCACACACCAGCTCCCAGCAGGTGCACACCCCTCACCCACACAGCTGCAGGCCCTGCCTGTGCTGACCTAGCATGCAAAGGCCCCCTTCACCCCCAAGATCGGCATCCCAAGATCCCCAGCCCAACTCCAGACCCAGGAGACACAGTGAGATCCCTCCCAGGCCATCTGGATCCAGCTCACCTCTTTGGTGGCCCACTGGAAGCCAGCCACCACACTGTCCTTGATCTCATTGAGGTACTGCACACCCTTGGTGATGTCCGTGAGGATGTTGGGGCCAGTCCCATCAGGCCCAAAGCACCAGATCTTGCGGGCCTCAGCCACGTCCCACTCGTACTTCTCAGCCAGGTAGCGGGCTCGCTGCTTGAGCTCCTGGCGGGCTGACACCTCACCCTTGTCGATGTCCTCGGCCAGACCATCAGGGAAGGGCCGTGCCTTCATGTACAGCCGATTGTGCTTGTTGGGGGACTTGGAGAGGCAGAGCACGTTCGACTCCTCACTGACTGTCTCCCGGTACGAAACCACTGGATCAGATTTCTGCAAGAAGAGTCTGGAAGTCGAACTGCTGCCTGGAGGTGGCCTTCCAGGGAGAGGTATCCCTAATAGCTCTTCCCAGGGAGGCTGAGGGAGCCAGCAACAGCCAAGCAGAGCAAACTGCCCCTGTTCAAGGCAGCCAAGGAAGAAAGGCGCAGAGGCCTAAGGAGCCCACCAGAAATAGCAGAAGACAAGCAGAGCCATCGCGGCCACATAGTCCCAGTGCAGAGCGCGAGTGCTCAGCACCAAGGGCAGAGGCCTGCTCCACAGGCTGCCCCTGCCCCACAGAACAGGGGGACATGGGCTGCCTCAGCTCACCTTGATGGGTATGCAGGCGTGGTCCTCCTCCAGGTCCTTAAGGCAGATCTCCAAGTGCAGCTCCCCRGCCCCCGCAATGATGTGCTCCCCAGACTCCTCGATGATGCACTGTGGGAAGCACAGGGTCAACCCCCTACTGACCACCACCCATGGGCGAGCAAGACCACTGAGGCCGTGAGCAGTTGCCAAATGGAGGCAACAGCCTGCAAAATTGAAGAACCTCTCTGTGCGGCTGAGACCTTTTTGGCAACCTAGAAGGCAGCTGCCTGGTAGAGTCACCTCAACAACTCCAACCAGGAAGACATGGGGTGGCGTCAGTCTCTCCTTTTACGAAGTCACCCAAAAACCCCTACCCTAGTGGGGGTACCTGCTCCCAGGTGACTGGAAAGGGACTTTGCCCACCTGCACCATGGGGTCAGACTTGGCCAGCCGCTTCAGCCCCTCCACCAGCTTGGGCAAGTCAGCTGGGTTCTTGGCCTCAACAGCCACCCTCACAACAGGACTGACGCTGAACTTCATCACGCGCATGTTGTGGGCGTGCTCAAAAGTGGTGATGGTGCCAGTCTTCACCAGGAACTGGTCCACGCCCACCAGACCCACGATGTTCCCGCAAGGCACGTCCTCGATGGGCTCCACATAGCGGCCCATCATCAGGATTGTTCTGGGGAGAAGCAGAAAATGTCAGGCGCGGCCACCAGATCTGGTTCTGCCAGATCCCAGTCCTCTCCAGAGTGCAAGGCTCTCCTGCCTGGGCTTCCCTCAAGCCCTGGCTGCATTTCCTACATAACTTGGAGGAATCACCASCAATTCCAAATCCCCTGTGGGTGCCACACCCATGCCACATTGAATGTGAACACAGGGAAGCAAGAAGAAAGGCACTGGGAATATTGGCCAGGCCTTGGCACAGGACAAGCAGATGACAGAAATGAGGTTTGGTTGTCTCTCCCCTAACTCTCAGTTGCTGGTAGGGCCCAGTGAGCAGTAGCAGCTACTGGTGGTCCCATCTTGGACCTCTCTAGCTGCTCTCTGGGGATGACAAAACTGGCCACCCACCTGATTCCTCAGGACATCTCGTCCTATTTCTGAGTTAGGGTTCAGGCGATCAGAGGAAGTACCTTGCTGGTGGCTTTCTGGAGACCTTGGATCCCCTCTGTTTGCCTTTGTGGGGTCTTAATGACCAAAGGTGGCGATGAATTGACCTCACACAAACTTATCACTCCTTGTGCAGATGCCAGCAAGCCTAAGCCACCAGCTGCAGGCAGGGCAGGGACAAGCCACAGCTCCAGAGCTGCACCTGGGGCACTGAGGCCTACCCCCACCACTCACCTCTGGATGGGCTTCAAGTAG